TTTTACCTAATCAGGTAGCAGTTAATAGAGTATTTTTTGCCGTGGAACAATTTATAGGACGAGTTACTCAATGTTTCAAATGTTTAAAATTCGGACATATTTCTAAACAATGTAAAAGCTCGCGTACTATCTGTATTAACTGCGGTTCAGATAAATTTGAAAATCACAATTGTGAAGCAAAAGATAAATTCTGCATTCACTGTGAAATTAGTGGACATGTATCCGTTGATAAATCTTGCCCATTTTATGAAAATCAAAAGAAAATCAAAAATATTATGATAAATCAGAAAACTTCGTTTAGAGAAGCTAAAGCCTATTGTGATTCATCTTTTGCAGGTCTCGCTACTAGAAACACCTTCTCTGTTCTAGAAAACAGAGATGAAAATTTCCCCCCCCTCCCAACATTTAAGCGGAATCCGCCAATATTATCACAACCAAGCACAAGTACCTTCCATTCTCATACTAACAGTTTTTTGTCCCAACCGAAGATTACACCTAATCGCAGTCTTGACGACAATAGAAAAAAAAGAAAAGCTGGTTCACCTATTGCATTATCCCCTAATATCGCTCCCATTTTCCCATTTCAATTTGGACCTTCCAAACCACTTCCCGCAAACCCATACAAACCTCAATATAATGATATAGAGAAAATCAAAGATAATTTATCTAAGTCTATAATAGAATATATTTTTACTATCTGTAATAAAATTCAATCAATTGAAGATGTTAAATCACTTGATAATGATCTAATAAAAAGAGATATAAATTTGGTATTGGAGGGTACTTTTTCAAAGAAATAGTCTTCAATACTAAGTATTTAAATATTATGCAATGGAACGCTCGTTCCGCTGTTACAAATAAAAATTCTCTATTACAATACTTATATCATAATAATATCGATATAGCATTACTTAGCGAAACTTGGTTTAAGAAAAATACTGTGTACAAATTTAAAGGTTACAATATTATTCGTAATGACCGCGATGACGGATATGCAGGCGTTGCAATCCTCATCAAAACCACCCTTTGCTTTATGAAATTAAATATAACTCAAAATTTCAATACTGATATCCTGGTTTGTGGATGCACTGTTAAATTAAATAACAGTTCCATACATTTCTTATCAGTCTACAGATCTCCAACTACTAAAACTAAAACTGAGGACTGGATAAGAATTTTTTCTCAAGTAAGTTCACCATTCATAATAGGAGGTGATATGAATGCTCATAATGCTATATGGGGTTCGCATAAAAATGATACTTATGGTCAACAAGTATTTTCTGCAATAACTGATCTAGATTTAATTGTATTAAATAATGGACAACCTACTTGTTTAAATCGGCCTACTGTAAATGATTCCATGATAGATATAACTCTCTGCTCTTCAGATATTGCAAACAAGCTCTCCTGGAGTATCACTTCAGATACGCTAGGTTCAAACCACTTCCCGATTTTGGTAAAATATGAAAATATACAAATTTTCAATAATTTAGTAACTCCCAAAAGTAAGTGGAATATAAATAAAGCCAATTGGGGTTTATATGCTGACAAATTAGAGTCGACATTCGAAAATGTTTTAGAGTTTATAGATAATAATGACAAATACAACTTTCTTATAGATAGTATTAATAATGCGGCCACTCAATCGATACCCATTTATAAACCTTTTCAATGCAAAAAACGCCCCTCACCTCCCTGGTGGGACCATGAATGTGACATCGTTGTGAACAACAGACGCCAGGCTCTAAGAATTTATAAGGATTCTCCAACTATGTCTAATTATATAAATTGTCAAAAAATTGTTGCTGAATCTAAAAAAATATTAAAAAATAAAGCAAAAAAAAATTGGATTAACTGGTGTTCTAAACTAAATAAAAATACTAGTTCTCATGACCTCTGGAACCAAGCAAGAAAGATGAACAGAAGACAAGAACCGACTATCCGTTCCTTAAATGATGATTGGACCATGGAATTTTTTGACAAAATTGCCCCCCCCTACTGTAATGTCTCCTACAAACCAAAATGTATTACCTAAAGATACTAATCACTTTTTAGCTCAGCCCTTCTCTATGATCGAATTAGACAATGCATTAAATTCCCGCATAAATACTGCCCCTGGATATGACAATATCAAGTATCCTATGTTAACCAATTTACCTGACATTGCAAAGGAATTTTTATTAAATATATATAATGATATTATTGTAAATAGTGGCACTATTACGGCTTTTAAGGAGGTCGTTGTTGTCCCGATTTTGAAACCGGGTAAAGACCCAAATTATGCTAAGTCTTATAGACCAATCTCTTTGTTGTCCTGCATTCTGAAAACCCTCGAAAGATTAATAAAAAGTAGGTTGGAATGGTGGTTATATAAACAAAATCTAATGCCTAAAAACCAGTATGGCTATAAAAAAGGTTTCGGAACAATTGATGCTTTGACAAGCATCGTAATCGACATACAAAACAATTTTTCAAAAAATAATTATTTGGCTGCTTTCTTTATGGACATTGAAGGTGCATATGATGCTGTATGTCTTCCAATTTTGAAAGAAAAAATGATTAACCAATTTAATATACCATCACATGTTGCTAATAGTATCGTACAATTCTATTGTAATAGATTGGTATATCTTAGAACATATAATCATATTATCGGACCTCGCATAAACACCACAGGGTTACCTCAGGGCTCAGTTTTGAGCCCCCTCTTGTTCAATATGTATACAGCCGATCTCCATAAACTTAATATTTTTCATATTCCTTTTAAAATTATACAATATGCGGATGATGTTTGTTTTTATACTGAACACCGAAAATATGAAAATGTAGTGGGGTCATTGGACTCCATAGCAAATAAACTAAATTCTTGGTTAATCAAAAACGGATTTCAATTATCAGCAGATAAATCATCAGTTACAATATTTACTAGACATAATTTGCCAAATAATAATATACGACTTAATAACGTAGATTTCACAATAAAAAACGAAATAAAATACCTAGGGTTAATCCTTGACAGAAAACTCACGTGGAAATCGCACATAGAATATATGTTAAACAACTGTAACAAGGGACTGAATTTTCTGAAAATGGTTGTAAAAACCTGGTGGGGTGCTGATGTAGAAACAGCTTTATTATTTTATCGTGCTTATTTGAGGTCAATATTGGACTACGGTTGCATACTTTATGGATCTGCTAGTAATAATTTACTAAAAAGAATAGATGTATTTCAAAATACAGTTTTACGTTTATGTCTTGGAGCAATGAAATCAACACCAATTAATCCTCTCCACGTAGAAGCACTTGAACCTCCACTAGAATATCGACGGACATATCTTAGCGAGAAATTTCTGGCAAAAGTACACCTTCAAAACATAGAACTTTTTAGAAATATTAGCCGATTACATGTATTTGACCTTGTTAATAAATATTGGAAATTAAAAAATTCTCCACCATTGTGCATTGCGTTTCAACAATGCCAAACTCAGTTGCCTAGCATATATAAAACTGATGATCTAACACAACTTGTTGACTATCCTCTATTTCTTCACAAAAATCGTATCATTCAACCATATTATGACTCTGATGTACGCATAAGTAGAAATATATTAAGATCATTTCTATCTAATTGGGAAAACGCCCTAATCATATATACTGATGCTTCTAAAACCTCCACTGGAACAGGATTTGCTTATTATATTCCATCTAGAAACATAGAGAAATCACACAGCCTGAACTCTTCATTTTCTATTTTTAGTGCCGAAGCTGTAGCTATATATGAAGCTTTACTATATGTCGAATCGATTCATCACAACAATGCAGTGCTAGTTTCCGATTCTCTATCTGTTTTAAAGGCTTTGGAAGATACAAAACTCCCAACTGTTAATTGTAACCCATACATCTTTAAAATTAAAAAACTTGTCGCAGAGTTATCTCTAACTGGTACACTAATTCGTTTTTTGTGGATAAAAGCTCATATAGGTTTAGCAGAAAATGAACATGTCGATAAACTTGCTAAAGATAGTATTAATATTGGAAATCCACATCCAGACTACAACTTATGCGTGGGTGATTACTTTGTTACTCTCAAAACCAAACTACGTTTAATGTGGTCGCATTCATGGAGTGAATTTTCTTTCACTAACCCAACAAGATATACATTGTTACATCCGACTATACCCACAAAATATTGGCACAAGCAGTTTAATATTCCTCGCAGATTTATCACAACAATAATTAGACTTAAATTTGGACACGCATGTTATCCCCAACATCTTTCTCGTATAAATGTTATACCTAGTGACAACTGTGAACACTGTGGAGTTATAGGTGATTTAGATCACATTTTCTTTGAATGCACAACGCATCAGAATCTGTCAAATGAATTATATAAAAAACTGTGCAACGTAAATATAACTGCTCCGTTTAATGTATTATCAATTTTGGCTTCATCTAAAAAAGAAAATTTTGATTGTTTGATAGAATTTCTGTCTAAAGCAGATATAAGATTGTAGTAGATTTGTTACCTTTGTTTTTGATATATCCTAATTACCTTTGTTATATTACCCTACCCACTCCGTGGCCTATTTCTAGTGTGTCTTGAAAAAAAAAAATGTCCTGATGGGTCCCTGGACGAGAAACGAGTGTCCTTGTTTATATCCTTTGAAAAGTATTGTCTTTTTAATTTTTGTTTGACGTGATAGGTTGGTTTTGTTGCGGTAGATTAGTTTTGTTGCGACAGATTGATTTTGTTCCGATAGATTATTTTTGTTGCCATGGTTGTTTACCATTTATTTTGTATTGTGATAGTTATAATATATTATTTATATTCATTAAGTGACTGGCTGAATGACAAAAGTCCAAGCCAAAAAAAAAAAAAAAAAAAAAAAAAAAAAAAACAATATCCTTTTTTGTTCGACAGTTTCAAATATTAATGTACATTTTTTCTTTATTTTCATTTCTGCTATCTCTTAATAATGCTTTCCTTTTTTTAATTTCAGGTGACTATTCCTTGGAAATCTTCCCCGTGATGCTGGACGACGACGCCAAATACGAATGTCAAGTGTCAACGGGAGCTCAAGGTCAGACCGGTATCCGAAGTCACTTCGCCAAGTTGACTGTTTTAGTTCCACCCGACCCTCCGAAAATTGTACAGGGTGATTATCTGGTCACCACCGAAGATAGAGAAATCGAACTCGAATGCATCAGCTTCGGTGGAAAACCCGCAGCTGAGATTACGTGGATCGACGGCCTAGGTAAGTAAACATAATAAATGTATTCGGTCAGAATTTGTAAAAAAATGTATAAACTTAATATTAGTCCCTGTAAAAAAATTAATAACGACACCACTGCAATACATATGTTTCGGCTAAATGTTTTTTTTTTTTTGTAGGAAACGTTCTAACGGACGGCATTGAAAATATAGTGGAAAAGCTAGCCGACGGTCGCCGGTACACAGCGAAATCAATATTAAAATTGACACCTCGGAAGGTCCACCACAACACGACTTTCACCTGTCAAGCACAGAATACGGCCGAGAGGACGCACAGAACGGCTAAATTGAAGTTGGAGGTCAGTAGCTTGTCCTTAGACATATTTCTTTACAATATCATAGGTAGAACTAAATAGAAATTAATATTTTCTACACCCACATGGATATTAGCTTATCTACGCACATATTACCAAACGAAAAAGTATGCTATTGCGTTCAACTAAACGAATATAGTTTATATCCATTCTAAGTTGTGAGACCACTGCAAAAAAATTAAATCACAGTTCATGTTTTGGTCACCCAACTACTATTATTTTTAAAATTTTAAATAAGTGACAATTCTGTCAAATTAAATGTCAGTGAGATTAAATATACATTGAAATACGTTATTTTTGTGTAGAATTGATAAATAGTATCATTTCTATTTTTGTTAGGTCCACATTTAAAATAAATAAATGCTCAAACTTTATCTTCGTGCGATATGGCGATCATATCCATTCTTGTTGCACAATCTACTATTGTACATCAGTAAATGTATCGTCTTCAAATATTCGTATATACTAATATAGGAGTTAAGATCAAGTCAATCCTTAAGATTTTTGTCTTTCTTCATCAATAAGAATTTTTTTAATAATAGCATTTATTGCAATCTGAACAATAAGCAATTTATTCTAACCTAACATGTTTACAACTGAAAATTTCATAAACTAAGGTCCTACTCTTTAGGGTAGCTACACTACTGTTAACTAATAGCACTAAGCCACACTTATATTCCTCTTTTAGCTAGCATCAAATTAACCATATCAAATGCTTTGGTTCTTACTAGATTGACTCCTGCACTCCTTTATGAACTCTGCTCAAATATCTGCTCGTCTCCTTTTAAAAATACTTATTTTCCTATTTTGTAAGCTCCCTTTTCACCTTTTTTTATAAATTAAATTCGTCATTTATCTCTTTCAACCTTTAACAATCTTCAAAACTATCCGATTTTAATTTTCAAAATCACTCTTATAGAAATTAAACCTGGGGTGGGTTGATAAATGTCAATTTGACAAAAAAATATAAAAAAAAAACATGGCGCAGACTTAATTTTGTCCTCTAGAAATATCCATATCAAAATCTTTCAATTTTGCATTCTAATATTTTGTTTTATCTATTTCATACAAAATTTTAAACTTTTTATTTCTTATCCAAATTTTTAATTACTAAACTTTCACTTCATATTTACCTAATTTATTATAATTCAATATAAACATCCAAATCTCAGGTACCTAGTTCCAAATTAATTCAAACCTCTTAAAGGCCGTCCCTTCCATTCAAAAATTTATACCTTCTCTCCTTTTCAGTCAACCTCCGATTCTGAACTATTTTCTAGCATCCATCCCCCTATCCGTTATATTTTCATAATCTTTTTTTATTTTTATTTAGTTTTAATTTGTTTATTTTATTTTATGTCTATTTTATGTCTATTTTAATGTTATCTTAATTTTATTTTTGTTTTTTAAAATCACTTTATGTTCGTTCTTTCTGATGTTATATTTTCTATTTACATTTACCTTTTCCTCTTGAGTTTGTTTTATGTTTTCTTTAATTTTATTACTCATTTTCGTATTTAATTCTACCATTCTTCTTTTAATAATTTTAATAATATTTACTTCTTTTCCTACCTCTGAAACCTCTGCCTTTCTTCATTACCCCCTTTTTCTTTAATTTCTATTTTTATCTCTTCTGGTTTTACCTTTTTATTTTTCTTTTGTATCTCAATTTGTTCTTCATTTATTTATAACTTCTTTGCATTCTAACCTAACACCTTACTCATCTCTTACTTTGCCTCTTTACTCAAGTTCCTATACTCTCTTTAATCCTTTATCATACTTCCTCCTTTCTATCTCAATTATAGTAGTCCTTTGTGTCTTTCAAACTTTATTTTATTTTATTTTCAAAAATTATTTTATATTCACTTTTTAATTCCTTAAAAAATGAGTAACAGTCCAAAGATAATGTTCTAGCTGTTTCACCCTTCTGTATAAAATTATTTATGCAATTCCTAAATATAGCTATATAATCAGAATCAAACGCGTAGGCTAATAACGTACAGATTAATCCGAAAATAACGAATACAAAAACCGAGTACAAAAGCAAAAAAAAAACAATATATGAAAATAAATCCATCTATTTGTACAGAACAAACGACTGACAACCATTAACTTTGCATTATAGATAGTTCGAATTGAACCATGAAATTGTTTTGAAAACTGAAATTGTCGGATTTGCATACAATCAATCGTCTAAAATTTATTGTCCAACTTTGTTTCTGCAAAAGGCAATTTAAGTGAATTATTAGATTTTGGGCAACGATATTCGGGGAAAGTAACAATGGATTTGTACGGAAGTGCCTTTTTTTGGTAGCATCAACGCCTGGATAAATGGGAAGATATAAACAGGGAAATAAAATAAAAACTAATTTATGGTCAAACACTTTCCGGTTATTTATTTTAATATAAGGATTTTCACTCTGTACAAAAACGCTTGTTAAATCTTTTAATAGCTAATTATTCCATAATTTTGTGCGTAATTTGAAGTTTGACATTAAACCAGATAACATTCTTAAGCTCTGTCAAAATTTATCGGGCCCAAGGAGATGGTAAGGTATGAAAATATTATACAAATGTCAAAATTTGATACCAATATAGCAAAAATCATTTCCCTCCTTTACAACCAGCCTAATTGGTCCCATATATTTTAATGAACATTGTTACAACCTTTTTAATCTAAATATACAGTGTTAGAATAAATTATTGATATTTTTAGGTCAAATACGCTCCAAAAGTATCAGTCGCTGTCCTGTCTGGTTCAAGCACGAACGGGCGCATCCCGGAAGGTTCAGAAGTAAGATTAGGCTGCAAATCGGACGCGAATCCTTCTGCCGTCACCTACAGATGGTTCCTCAACGACGAACCTGTAATGGGCGACTTCACGACCGAACTGGCTCTTCATAACGTAACCAGGAGACATCACGACGCTATAGTCAAGTGCGAAGTCCTCAACGCCGTGGGAAAAAGCGAGGAAAGCCAATCATTAGATATCAGTTGTAAGTAACTAAAAAAAATCTACCTATTTGATTATTATTGATTTTGAAACTTTTAGATGGTCCTCAATTTCGCACGAGACCAAAATCAGTTGAGGCTGACCTCGGTTCCAGCGTAACTTTAAGCTGCGACGTCGACGGTAATCCAGTTCCTGATGTATCCTGGTTTCACGAAGATCAGAAGAAAATCGTCAGTACGAGTCCTAATTTGACGTTGAGAGTGGACCACAGCACGGCTGGGCGGTACTACTGCAAGGCTAGGGTGCCAGGATTTCCTGAGGTCGGAGCTGAAGCTTCTATTTATCTCAAAGGTGGGTTCTATAGGTTATTATTTCAAGACTGGATTCCTTCAAATCTTCATCTAGAGTAGCTTACTATCTAGTATCTTTTCTTCATCATTAGCATCCTTTTTCTTTGGTATTCTCTTTCTATGAATTGTCATAACCAATCCACATAAATTTTAATGAACTACTGAAAGACTATTAAATTTATTAGTCTAATAAGTTCCATCAAAATATTAGTAATTTACGTTACAATGTAAATATGTTTATTAATATAACAGCTTCATTAAGAATACACATGTAAACAGTGATCGATAATTAAAAAAATCGTACTTTTGACTAGGCCATTTAGATGGACTATATTTATTTCTAGGTCCCCCTTCCATAGTTAGCCACCGAACCCAGTTTGGCATAGAAGGAGACAACGTCAGGGTGGAATGCACCGCTTTTTCCATCCCAGCTCCGGAAAGGGTTGTGTGGACTTTCAACGGCAGAGAAGTGGATCTTCACGATCAAGATTACTCCATACTGGAAGACCCGCTCCCAGAAGGCATAAAATCCACACTCGTCATCAGAGAATCGCAAGAAAAGCATTTTGGCATGTACAATTGCAGCGTTTCAAATCCGTACGGGAGTGATGTTGTCGAAATTAGCCTCATGCCGCAAAGTAAGTTTGGTCTATATCCCCACATTTCAATATGGGTATTAATTTTATTCTTTATTTAATTTACAGAAAGCTTCCCGATGTTGATCATAGTAATAGGAGTCGTTGGAGCTATAATAGTACTTATCATCATCATTATGATTGTGTTTCTTTGCCAAAGGCAAAGTAATAAGAAGCCACATCCAGAGAGTAAGTGATTTCAAATAAAAACTTTATTTGGTTCGAAAAATATTGAACAAGCCTTGTATAACTTTTAATCGATGTCGTAAGGGGATAAATCAATATATTTTGAACAAAACGCATAATAACGTATGTGTGAAATTTTAAAAATGCCACTTGTGTTCCAGCAGACACGAATACTATGGAGAAGCAGTGCAAGGAATCAGACAGAAGTTCAAACATCTCAGATTTGAAATTAGACCTAAGGACGGGTTCGTCCAATAGCAACGTTCACTGCGACATGGACTACATTCCTGGAGCCGAATCGGAAACTGGAAGCGAATCGGTCATCACCAGGATAGGCGTCCCGTTGGCAGGGCCCGTCAGTATTCCAGGGCAGGATATTTATAGATATTCTGCGGATTATACCGAGCCTAACTTCCCACCAAAGGTAAAAAGATGTGTTTATATCTAGATAAACAATCGTTAATTACCAAGTTGCAACTTAGTAGGACAAAGTAAATAATTTATTGAAGCATTAAAATAATATAACTTATATAAAACCTTCAGTATTTACTAAGGTTTTCTTTTTGGTTTATTAAGTCTCTGTTTCCTATTTTTCCAGGACGGCCAGAACAACAATGGTTACGTTCCTTACGTGGACTACGCGAGGGACTACAACCCGCCACTGATGCAGGCTCCCATATCTTCCTCCCTGGATCCGAACAGGGAAAGCCTCCAATCGACGCGTCTCCAGCTAAACTCCCTCCAAAATCATCAGATTCCTGTCTCGGGGTCGAGCCTGCCATTGAACGACCTTTCGGACCTTCACCTGTCTCACCAGTCCATCCCTAATGGGGGTCTGCCTTCCATAGATCCGAGGTTCAGCGCTACCTATGGTAAGTACGATATACATATTTATTATACAGTGTGGTGCAAATGATACGAATATAAATCTTGAAACAGGTCGATTTTTATTGTCGCGTTCTGTCAGATATTGCATTTATTTGTTATAGTATCTGTGTGAGACTGATGATGCCATCGAGGATATTTTTTAAATAGAGATGTAGTTCATATGATACATCATTTGAAAGGTCTTTTAATTATCTAATAAATTGTATAATAAGTTAAAGTAATTCAGGTTTTTATACTGTCAAATATTTTTATTATAGTTAAAATTCTTGTTTATTAAATATGTAGTACATGCTAGATATACTTTTAGAATATACTTTCAAAGTATATTCTACGCATGTTTTAAGAATATTCTAAAAAGGACATTCAGTAAAAAACATTCTTAGATATTCATAGAACATTGATGCTATAAATGTGTGAAATACCCATTAAAATTAAATTTATTACTTTACTATATTTTAACAAACGTTTTGTTTTGCAGGTAACCCGTACCTCAGGAATCCGATCGTGGGCCTGCCGACCCCCAACACGGCGAACCCCGCCGCTACGCCAGCGCCCCCGCCCTATTCCCGGGAAAATTCCAGACTAATTAGTTCTAGTGCCATGATAACGGCTAGTGCCAACGTGGTGAATACAGTGGTGGCGAACGGTTCCAACGGGTCCTTGCCGCAGGTCACGAGACTACCGAACTCGCCGACGAGTCAATATATAGTGCCCAATTCCAATATGGCGACCCTCAAACGGGGGACCATGGCGACGCACGTGTAATATTGTGTCCAACTGTGCTTTAGGTGAAAAGAAATTAATCAAAAGCGGTGGGTAAGAGGTACTGATGAATGTAGTAATATATAAAAATTTTGAACAAAGTCTACAATTGTTCATAATTGTTAAAAAATTGAGAATGTTTGACTTTTTAATTTTCTTACAATTTTGAAGTATTTGTCCATAAATTGTGAACAATTTAAAAATTCGAAAAAAAAATAAATTGTTCACAACTTCAATTTTAGAAATTATTTAAAAAACAACTTAATTAGAGACCTTTTCAAAATTTTTCACAAATAATTTTAAAATGTCAACAATTTATTAATAATTGTTTGTGAAACTGTTGACAATGCACGGGTGACAATAAGATTGTCAATATTTCCTTTATTTATGAAGCTATTTGGATCAAATTTGACTCAAAACATACTAGATATAATTTTGAATTAACAAATGTAATTAAACAAAATGGCCGATTTCCGATTTTATCGAAAATGCCAGTAATTTTGATTTTTTTTTTTTTAATATTAATGGGTAAATTTTATTTTTATTTTAACAATTTTTTGTTCAAAACATTTTTTTGTTTTTTTGAAAAAATTTGTTTGGGAAAAACGTAATGTTGGCCATACTTGTAATATTGTCAAATCTACACTTTTACTTGTTGGACGATTATTAAAATAAATAATCGGTTAATTGAAATAATCGAATATTTTCTATTAATAAATTACCAAAAGTAATCGATTAATCGAAAATTATCGATTGACCGAAAATAATCGATTAATTGAAAATATTCGATTAATCGTCAAAATCTATTACACGAAATAATCGATCAACCTAAATAATTAAAATAATCGAATTTATTCTATTAATCGAATAATGAAAAGTAATCGATTGATCGAAAATAATCGATAAAATGAAAATAATCGATTAATCAAAAATAAACGATCATTCGAAAACATCGACTAATCGAAAATAATCGATTAATCGAAAATAATCGATTAATCGAAAATAATCGATTAATCGAAAATAATCTATTAATAGAAAATAATCGATTTATTGAAAAAATCGATTTATCGAAAATAATCGATTAATCGAAAATAATTAATTAATCGGAAATAATCGATTAATCCAAAATAATCGATTAATTGAAATAATCGCAACTAAACGATTAATTGAAATTAATCGATTAATTAAAATATTCGAATAATCAAAAAAACGATTAATTAAAATAATCGATTAATTTAAAATAATCGATTAATCGAAGATAATCGATTAATCAAAAATAATCGATTAATCCAAAATAATGAATTATTCGAGAATGATCGATTAATTGAAAAAATCGAAATTATCGATTAATCGAAAAAATCGATTACCTCAACTATTCGATTAACCGAAATAATCAATATAATCGATTGGGCTAGAATCGAATAATCGATTGGGCTAGAATCGAATAATCGATTGGGCTAGAATCGAATAATCGATTGGGCTAAAGAATCGAATAATTGAATTTTCGATTAATCTAAATAATCGGTGGATCGACATAATCGATTGATTAATCGAAAATAATGGATTTGCTTGTATTATAAAGTTTTAAAACGTTTTTTATATCTCTTGTAAAGTTCCAAATATTCACTAATAAAATTTAACCACAAGTTTACCACTCATACCATAAATTTACCACTAATACATACTCCCAAATCCAATAAATTTGTAGGTTAAACCTCACATAATATACTTAAATGTCACTTGTCTAACGATAAAACGTAATTTAAACCATATATTTCAAAAAATATACAAGGTAGGTCGATAAAAATCAAAATTTGTGACATTTCCGATTAAACTGGAAGTCGGCCATTTTGTTTAAGTGTCAATTTGAAATTATGTTTACAAGATATTCAGTCTTTTTAAATCCAAAGGGCTATAAAATTCAAACATCATCCATTTTGTCAAAATTCTCCTTGTTCGCAATCATAACGCCAAAGAATGCAACGTTGTCATGTTTCTTTCCGTTTTTCCTTAAACATTTTGAACATTTTTTTTGTATTTCTATTTATGGCATATTTTTTTCAGAATATTCTAAATAATTTTATGTATTCATACTTTATATCCGAAATATGTCAAAAATAAATTATCACATTTAAATTATCAGTGAGATTTTGTTTGTAAGCATTATTTATGTTTTTAAATTTCTGCAGTTCCAAGATTTTCTCACAACCTGACAACGTTGCTTCAAATGATGATCAAAATTGCATGCTACAGCATCATATAACCTCGAAAAAAATATTAATTCACATTAAAATTATACTAATTGATATTTTATGCAGTAAATTGTGTCAAATTTCTATTGTTACTTTGGATTTAAAAAAGAAACTGAACTTATTTGTCCCAATTTTGATCCAAATCACTTGTCACCCGGTGTATTTTATTTATAAATGGTTTTATTAATCACAAAACGTTCTCTCCTACTGTCCAAATAAATATCTTTATATTTTGTTGATAGAATATTTGAATTAATACTAAAAACAATCATCAGTGCCTTCTGTCTGTCCAAAATTTATTATACAGGGTGTCGCATATACTCTAAAAACTAGTTAAAGAGAAATTAGTCGAATATTAAATTAAATTTGAATCAGATACTCCTTAGTACCCAGAAAATCGAAACGTTCAATATTTGCGACACCCTATATAATATAAAAATACATTTTCGAGGTGATGTTAAAAATAAGTGAATTTATGACGAGAAGACTGAATAATTATATCGATCAATTTTTTTTTGTTCACTAGGAATATTAAAAAAAGATTATTAAAATGTTTTTCTTTAAATGTTCAAATTTGGATCATTCGCCAAACGGAAATATTGTAAATGTTTAACTAAACAATTAAATTAATTGAAACGAATCGTTGATTAAAACTTAATCAGAGAGTAAGATTTGATTGTTTTGTAGAATTTTGTGGGTTGGAATTCAGTATCTAAACGCAGAAAACTGGTTTTATTAAATCAATCAAACATTTTTGTAGAATATATTAGTTTAATCCAGAATCATATATCTTTATTTTGTTGACACAAAAGATGAAGCTGACATAGATGACCACACAAACGTAACACATGTGTCAAAACATTAAATTACATAAAAATCTACCCCACAAAAATAACAATACATTTCTTGTGAGAAACTAATTTTAAAATGGCTGTAACTTGATATATACAGTATGGAAATCGAAAATAATGGTTTTGTTATAAATATATTTTTATTTTAACTTTTGACAGTATTAGGAATAGTTTACTACATTAGTTTTGTATCAATAAAATATTTTTTAATGTTAAGATGTAGCATTTTATCCAGTATCAGTAGAACGGTTTCTTGAGACGTCTAGATTTTAATGGGACAGTTCTGAGAGAAATATGTATTTTATTTCTTTAAAAAAAATAGCTTCTCTATTTTTATTCAAAATATCGAATTTTTAACAGATTTTTGATTGGTATACCCGATTTTTTAGATCTTCCAATCTGGTAACCCTACATGATCTTCAAGAAGTTCAAGAGATGTAATTCTTGTACACGTATCCTTGTTAGTGGTTAAATTTTCTCAATACAAGATTTATACTTCATTGATATCCTTTATAAGTTTTTTATAACTGTCTCTTTTTATCTGTTATTGAGTTCTGTCCTTGTAATCTGATCATTTTCATTACTATGTTCTCATTTTTTATTCAATCTACTGGTTGTCAATTTGCAAATGTCTTTAGATATTTTGTGAATCAAATATAAGACAAATTTATCAAACAGATGCATATCACTCACTATACCTCTGGTATACTGTCAGGTTTACACCTTTGTTACTTGAAACATCAATAAATTTGGTTGGTCAGCAGGTTTATTGTGAAGATGTGTCTTTGAGATATACCTACTTATTTCTTAAATAAATAGTTATCAAGTATGTTTTCCATACTAAGCTTATAAGATTGTTGGACTTTTTAATTTATCATCTTCATGAGGACATTTGTCGCCCTTTTAATTACAAACCCTTCCCAATCCTTTTGTATCTATCCATTGTGAAATTCTATATGATTGTTATTTTATTTTAAGCAGTACGGGAGGGTTGAGCCACTTTTTTTTAAAGACCTAGTTTTCTGTCGTGTTTTAGTAATCGCATAAAGTTTTTTATACAGGGTGTTATTGAAATACACGTACATATTAAAATGGGGAATAGTATGTAATGACCAAAAACGATTGGCACCAATTTTAACTTCAAATTCTAAAATTTAAATATTGGGGAAGAGTCCCCTTTTCCGACCTACTAGTTTCCATATTTAAAGAAGTAAAATAAATCGAAATTGAACTTACCCATAGAAATTGCACTGTTGCCGTAGCAAAACCAATTAATTGAAAATAAAGTTTATTACAGTAATTGTTCAAAATGCCGTCCATTATTATTTACACACACTTGCAATCGTCTTTCCAAAGAACTTTGAACATTAGAAATTAGTCTTGGATTTTGTCGTAGTTCCTCGGCTACCGCATTAACTTTATTGGTTAATTGTTCAACACTATTAATAGGTTCATTATAAACCAGTTGTTTCATGTGACCCCACAAAAAGAAATCGCATGGATTTAAGTCCGGAGATCTCGGAGGCCACTTAGTAGGTCCATTTCTGCCTATCCACTTTTGAGGAAATCTAATGTTCAAAAACTGCCGTACGTTTAAATCAAAGTGAGGAGGAGCGCCATCTAGTAGGTACCACATCCGTTGCCTTAATTGTAACGGTATCTCTTCTAGGAGTACTGGCAAAATATCTTCTAAAAAGTGGAGATATCCTGGCCCATTTAATCTGTTCGGGAGAACATAAGGCCCGATTAAATACTGATCTATTATGCCAGCCCAAACATTTATTGAAAATTTTCTTTGATGCCCAGTTTCCCTAATGGCGTGAGGATTTTCATCACTCCAAATATGCGTATTGTGCATATTGAACACGCCATCACGAGTGAATGAAGCCTCGTCAGTATA